ATTTTTTGAAAAATAGAGTTGATGAAAAAAAAGAAAGTGTAATAGGTTCAGCAAATGTTCCACTTATTTTTATTCCTCGTGTAACTATATTTAATTAGGAGATACAATCGTCATCTGCAAAAATCGTATATTAACCTAATCAATTATTTAGGCCAACCAAATATGAATAAAACAAGACAAATTAAATATTTCAAGTTTCAGCCATAGCAGGATAGGAATTTTTGTTCTTTTTTATTCAAAATTTGAGTTAATAATTTAGTATCGTAATCATTTATTTTAATTCTTGTCGTATCGAAAATTAAATAAATAAATTGACAGGAGATTAATAACATTTATAGCATTAGGAGAATTTGTTTGAAATATTATAATTTCTAAATGAGAATACTATTATAATTAAAAATTATATATATAAAACAAAAATTCATTGATCCTAGATCATCGATCCTTTCACACAAACATTCCTCACAGTCATAACACACGTTCTATGGCAACCACTAGCAGAGGAATAATTTCCAGAGGATCATTGATCCTAGATCATCGATCTTTCAACACAAACATTCCTCACACTCATACCACACATTCTACGACAACCACTAGTACAGGAATAATTGCCAGAGGATCATTGATCCTAGATCATCGCTAGAAATAACATTCTAGCGGGGGTATTCTTCAAGGGGGTGCGTGACATTGGCGCACAAAGAGCGCGATGCAGACTTCGTCAACCAACTTCCATTGGATATTTCGAATGCTTTCTCACCGGTCAACCAAGACGATTATTTACCCGCCTTAGTGATTACACGTTGGTCTACCACCGTAGGAAATACTCTCTAAATATACCGACAGCCACGGAGAGCTACGGCGCGGGCAACCTTTGTGCGGAGATTACCACTCAAATCACCGTGAAATTCTCGTGAAATGCGTTTCATTGTGCCGTGGAAAGTGCAGGTCAAATTTAGATGTTCCTGCTGCCGGGGAAAGTTTTTTCCCTGCCGACGGGAACTAGGAAGACGTTTCGAAATTTTCCCTTCCACGAGCATTAACTTCTCTTCCATTCCTATTTCACCATTCTTTATTTCTTCCTTTTTCTTTTTCTTTTCTTTTTTTTTTTTTTTTTTTGGGGGGGAAGAAAGGAGATGGATTTTTATTACTGATTTGTTGTAACTGGTTAACACTAGATTTACAGAACCCGTCAATTTGACGCATGGGTTGCTCCAATTATACGATGGTAACAGAATTAGTTAACTTATATTAACACTAGAACTACCGATCTTTAATGGATACCTAACTGTAACGTACATAGAATGTAGTAATTTCAGCGATACAATGAATATGAGTGAATATATTGATTACAGTTCTTTCTTAACCCTTTGCACTCGATGATTTTTTGGCTAGAGAAGAGTAGAAATTCAAAGATTCTCTACTAAAAAACTAACAATACTTTTTTGAGCATTAAATAAAGAATTGTATAATAATAGAATTGTAGAATTATTTGATTTCGATACCTCGTACACTGTTACGTTACGTTAAATATGATATATTAATTAATATCGATTTTGTAAATTTTATTAAATGGTGACTGAAGCTCACCCTCGAGTGCAAAGGGTTAAATTTAATCCAACGCAAACCTTTCGATATCTCGATTCGAACATAAATAAACTTACGCCACTTTCAAAATAAACAGCTCATATATTCAAATTTGTGCTGTAATTTTTTGAATAAAATTACAGGGTTTATTATAAGGTGCAGGGAACTAGTTGCAGACTGTTATATAGTGACGAATGTATAAAATTTATTATTCGTGAAATATGAGTTGGTACCAATTTTATTCTTAAACCAGGTGTATGTGTTCGGTGATTGCAAAAAGAAAAATTCTGGGACCAATCATTTTCACTGGGTTGGTAGTACTAGTGTTAAGACTGTTAATATTGTAATTGTTTTTAAATGAAACTAATCGTTAAGAAAAGAATGACACGTGGTTTTCTTTACCTGTCAATTTGACAGGTGTCCGTAGAAATAGGTATACAGATAGTGTTCGTAAACCTAGCGTTAATATCTTCAGGACGAATATTGTGAAATGAATTTGTGATTTGGAAAAGAAGGGTAGGGGGCAATTTTAGTTTGTTGATTTTTAAGATGTTAAAAATTTATAATATATTCGTGTAATAAATATATTGTTTTAAATTGCATAATAATGATCGAATATTTAGTATTTAGTATTCAACACTTTGCAGTATGCAAATGTTACTATGGTGAATAACTACTATGGTTACTACTATAAATAGCTACTATGGTTAATAATTTGCAATTTGTTATTTGCTTTTATTTTCTTCAAGGACCATGTAAGTGAGGTTAGTCAGAAAATAATAAAATAAATTTAGGCATTTATAGTGTTTCCTCTATTAAAAATGAAACTCTCGCTATTATTCTTAATAAATTCCTGAATTAATATTTAAAATTTAATTTCTGATTGTCGATATTTAATTGTTAAATATTGTCGAAGTCCCTTTAAAAAATGCATTAGGCCACGTATGCCTAAAATAAATTTAGGCATTTATAGTATTTTTTCCATTAGAAATGAAACTCTTACTATTCTTCTTAATAAATTTCTGAGTTAATATTTGAAATTTAATTTCTGATTGTCGATATTTAATTATTAAATGGTGTCGAAGTCTCTTTAAAAAATGCATTATGTCACGTGTGCGTTACAACACAATACTAAATTAAAAATAAAGAAATTCTTCACATTATTAACTATTTAATTATAATATATTTGTAATAAAGCTTGGATTAAATAGAAAAAGGAAAATTGGAAGAAAGTAAATTTGTATAAACCAAAATCCATGATTCGTAACATTTTATTTACACATCTTTAAAGCTCTATTTACAACGAGAATGGCGCCATAGGCGCGATAATATTATTTTCATAGAATTAAACTAATCATTGCCGCACAACGTTCATTCGCAGAGGCGTAAGTACCGTATCATACAATTTGTACATTTCGCGTGTCCTTGCTAATTTATGCAGCTTTCCTGGCTGCTTCGGGATTCGCCTAAAATCTTCGATTATCCCTGGAACTTCGATTCTGAGATACCGATGAGGAAACTCCACATTCGGAGGGGTTTCATATTGCCACGAACGCGACTAAAACAAAGTAATGTTTCGCAGGAAATTACAACTACCCTAAACATCTAATATCCTTAACCGAAATTACGTCTTTCTGATCTCTCTTTGTTTTGATATAATTTCGAGTTAACCCTCTATGGGCCCGTGTGACTTTCAAGTTATCGCCTTGATCACTCCAGATCGCGATTTTTCTTTCGGTATATTTGTAATTATTTTTACACTACCTCTTGTGGGGCCATTTTTAAAAATTCTAATTCTTTTTTATTTACCGGTTACTCGATCATGATAGGTTAGATTCTCTATGGCGCTCTATAACCTTTTTCCCACAAGATGGCGTGCAAAATTATCTTGTCTATCTATTGCACATTATCTTAGCACAATAGTACAAACGTTGTTAATTCAGACTTTCAATATGGATTCGTTATTACAAAATTGTCAAAACTGTTCAATTTATTGCTTGTTATTTATTGATTTCATGTTATATACAATTCTTATAGCCAAGAGAAATATATATATATATTGGGCCCATAGAGGGTTAATTTATTCGTTCATCAATTCGTTGATTCATCTTTGCTTTATGCTCGATGAAACGTAAATTTGTTCGAGTATCTCGTTAGGGCCGTTACAGGCAGCTGCTAAATTATTGCGGTTGTCGTACCACGTACGTGCTTCTATTCCAATATAATATAATAATACAAAAATAATGGATGTATTATCGATTCAAGTACTTTCTCCTCGTGTATTACCCCTTGTGATATGTTTCCATCACAGCTGATTTTTATTTATATTCCTCTGGATCGAGTAGAAATACGTTTAACTCTATCACTTTTGCACTTGTTTGAATAAATTTAGAGTACTCGGATGAGGCTCGTCGTTCCACACAGTCATCCTGATTTATAGTTCGTTCAATTCCAAGAAAGCATGGAGGAACATTCGTTTATCTCGCAAGAAAATTTCTTCGAAAATTTCTTTGGTTGTTTTTATTCTATTTCAAGATTCTTTAAAATTTTTCTTCCTTCAGGGGAGACCAATTGGATCTCGTTTAAAATTTGATATTTAAAAATTTGCGAGATCGAACAGTTTGTGCTTAAATTTTGAACATTTTCTCCTGAATTTATCAAAAATTATAGTTACGAGTGGCTCAGCTTCGTGTTATTCATGAGAGTTTTCACTGATTTGTTTCAACATATGTTTGGAAATGATTGTACAAACTGCTTCAAACCTTGTCAAACTTCGTCAAACATCCTCTTCGAACTCGTGAACTATCGTCTCTTTTCTTGTTTGAATGATTGGTATGTCTAGTGTTCTCAATTGCAAATTTTGCACTTATCACTATGAATGTTTCGTGATTAAACATGGTAACACAAACTGATTCAAACTCCTTCAAATCTCTCATTTATTTCTCTCACTTTCCCCAAGCATTTTCCAAGTATTTCTGCATTTTGAAACTGTCCATTCATCCATGAAACATGATTCACGTTTAACAACAGATGCACAAACTGCTTCAAACTTCACCAAATCCTTCCAAACACTCTTTAATCTCACGAACTCTCATTTCCTCCTTGCTTTTGCAATTCCCAATTTAGAATCATTATCATCTATTCACTAAGTACGATGTACATTTGAAACTAGAGCTTCAAACTTCATCAAACCCTCGCAAACATTTTCCCAAACTCCCCTCTTCTAGCTTTTCCAAGGAAAAATTCTCTTGCTATCCACCGAACACGGTTCACAATGAGAAGCAAGAGCACAAACTGCCTCAAACTTCACCAATCTTCGTCAAACATCCTTTCCAAGCCTCGTTTCTTCTTCCTCGTTTAAATATTCGATATTTAACGTCTTCGACTCGTCACAATTCAGAACGAACTCATTCGGTTCAAGCAGCCTTGTACATATCGCAGATGATCCTCTCGATCGGGATGACCCCGATGGTTCTCCTGAAGAACAGCTCCTCGATCGCGTGAGCAGAAACGGAACGAAGCGTGGGTAGCAGCAACAGCAGCTTTCCAAACCTCAAAGCACCAAAGGAGGCGCCACTGAGCCTCTGTCCGAGTGCCAGTTGCGCTCCATCTCTCAGTCTTGCAACTGATGCAGCGTCTCTGAGCCTACTTCCGGTACTCGGTGACGCTGACCCGTTGCTGCTCCTGCTGCTAGGCAGAGGTTCGCTGTCCAATCCAGCTTTGAACAGCACGATCGCTCTGATGCACGCGAACTCGTGCTGATCGAGGCTCATCGCGTGGAAGCCAGCCAGGGTTTCCCTGAATCGATTCACTTCCACGGCCAGACCGAGACCCTGAGGACCTGGCGGGAGCAGAGCAGTTGGGTCCAGGGTTGGCAGTATCTGCGCGGCTGCGAGTAGGAACAGTTCTCTCCAGGAGGACTCCAGAAGAGTCAGCTGGTCCTCTATGGTTAGGTTCGTCCCTGCTGCGAGATCTCTGGCCCAGTGGACGTTCAGGAAAAGTAGTCTGGCTGCTTGCTCGCAAATGGACTCCGCGGTTATCGCTGGGATCAGCGGCAGCGATGGCAGACCCGCCATAGTCATTGGAATCTGGAAGTTTGAACAAGATGAGATTTGATGGATGAGTTTGGGACAGGATAGCTTAGCTTCCGAGGTATAATTCTTGAAAACATTTTTTAGGGATTTTATAGCGATTATGAGTATTCGAAAGTTTTCAAGTTTCCAAGATAATACGAAATTGTTATTGTATATTTTTATTTATAATGATGATTTGAAATTGCTTATAAGTGGTTATTTAACGCTAGGTTTACGGAGGCAATCTGTATACTTATTTCTAAGGACATCTGTCAAATTGACAGGTAAAGGAAATCACGTGCCTTTTTCCTTTTAGCGATTAGTTTAATTTAAAAACAATTATATATTATATTAACAGTCTTAATATAAATTAACTAAATCTGTTACTATCGTATAATTGGAGCAACCCTTCTGTCAAATTGGCGGGTTCCGTAAGTCTAGTGTTAAGGTAATAATATTTATTAATTCATTTTATAAATTATGTTATATACAGGCACGATATAATAAAAGCATTTATTAGAAATGGTTAAATAACAGTGGAGGAAGTATTTAATGATCCAAAATCGATATTTCGACCATGTTTTCTTCTCGAAATATCTCGAATTTGTGAAAATCGAGTTAAATATTATTTCTCAATCGTCTTCTATTAATTAACATTTATGTTCTTCATTTTAATTCATTTTTACGTCATTCTCACTTCTGTTTCGTAGATTTTAATAATCTAATTTTCGAAATTCAGTACTGTGTTAATACTAAACCTATCACGAGCTCAATAACCATTTTTAAATACTTTAGTCACTTGACTATGCAATTTTTCTTTTAATATTTCCTACTCTATAGGTACAATAAATTATTTATTTCCAATTATTCCACAGTTTCAACATTTTTCTTTATTCATCTATCCTTTTCTTCATTCACCGGTTATTTGAACAATGGTGGTAGGTCAGTATTAACAAGTATCACGTGATAGTTATCGCGAAATTAATTCGAATTCTGTTATTATTACTACTATTACGTAATATAAATTTTCAGAAATATGTAATTTAGCGATTAAGGACATATTATTTGCTGAACTGTTCCTACCTTGGACAGGGCCATGCTGTTGCAGTAAACAGGATGTGGAAGGGGATGATGAGGGGCTGGCGCTGCCACGGAAACTCGAGGTTCTGTCGGTGGTTTGGGCAAAGCTAGATCCAAAGCCGCTGCTGGTGGGGGCACCATGTTAGCCATCATTTCGGGTTCTTTAAAGTACAAAGCCATCTGCCTCCGTAGAGTCGAGTTTCGTGGGCCACGTTCGTGTTGCACAGCTGGAAAAATAGGAAAATTTGCATTAATACGCCGTTTAGCACACATTAGGGAACCGTGTTTATTTATCCCGTGCTTTATGCCGTCCCGGGAAACTTATATCCCCCGAGATAGCGTAGACAAGTAACGTTATCTTCGAGCTGTTTAATCTTCCGTGGACTATTTGACTTAGAAATGATAGGGAAACAATCAAATCTACGCCTTCGAATATTTGAAGAACAATCTGTTGGTGCATCTTCGTGCGAACGGAATATTATATCGTGTATCGGTTCGAAATATTTTTTAACGAGATACGAAACTATAGTTATGAAAAGTGATACATATATTTAATTTCTAAATAAATTATTTTTGTCATAAACTCTTGTTCATATTCTAATTATTATGTTGCTAAAATAATAATTAAATTAATACCACTATTTATAACTACTTGTAACTTATATAATTTCTTAATATAACTAGTTAAATTAATTGAATTAAATAGTTAAATATAACAATTTATAGTCAATTAATTAATAAATAGTTAGTAATTAATATTTACTAACTTAATGATTCACATATTTAATTTCTAAATAAATTTTTTGTCATAAACTTTTGTTCATACTCTAATTAATATGTTATTAAAATAATAATTAAATTAATACCACTATTTATAACTACTTGTAACTTATATAATTTCTTAATATAACTAGTTAAATTAATTGAATTAAATAGTTAAATATAACAATTTATAGTCAATTAATTAATAACCAATTAATCAATAAATAATTAATAATTAATATTTGCAAACTTAGAGAAATAGAAAATTTGTTGTCCCCATATTAGATGTTTTGAACTTAAAATTGTTCTCAATATTTTATGTTATGATTGCTGAATAATTTTTAGAATACATAGTTGAACTTACCATCCTTGTTCATACCGGCTTGAATGCACTTGGCCAAACGACACGCTCTACATTGGTTCCGATGCGTCTTGTCCACCATGCAACCACCTTTAGACTTCGCCTTGCAGACATACTGACGATTCCTCCGTATCGATCTCTTGAAGAAACCGGCACATCCGTCGCACGCAAATATACCATAGTGTTTTCCCGAAGAATGGTCCCGACACACCTTACATGGAATGTCGTAAAGAATACGACCTGAAACGACACAAAAATATCCTCTTTATCCTCCTGAACGAATTCACTAATTAAATAAAATTAATTTAAAAATAATTAAAAGAACACGAATTTAAAAAAAAAAAATGGACAATTTATTTTTAATAGCCACAGGAAACAAAAATTGACTGAGGTACAGATATTCTCTCTTTTTATCTGAATTTTTATCTTCATTTCCCTCCTTCTTTGTCTCTCTTATTAACAGACCCAGTGTTCCAACTTTAATTCCTAAAATTTATATACATATATTCTCTCTTTTTATCTCAATTTCTATCTTCATTTCCCTCCTTCTTTCCTTCTCTTGTTAACAGATTTAGTGTTAAATATTTAATTCCCAAAATTCGTATTACAGCCAGCGAACTGACGAATCTACTCGCACCTATATAATAATCAAACACCTATGCACCTTCAATCAATCAATCTGCCAATAACTAAAAGAACAGGACTTTTTAAACAAGGGACAATTTATTTTCAATAACCATAGGAAAGAGGAAGTGTATGAGGTACAGATATTCTCTCTTTTTATCTCAATTTTTATCTTCATCTCCCTCCTTCTTTGTCTCTCTTATTAACAGACCCAGTGTTCCAACTTTAATTCCTGAAATTTATGTACAAATATTCTCTTTTTATCTTCATCTTCCTCCTTCTTTGCTTTTCTTGTGAACAGATTTAGTGTTAAAAATTGAATTCCCAAAATTGATGTACAAATATTCTCTCTTTTTATCTTCATCTTCCTCCTTCTTTGCTTTTCTTGTTAACAGATTTAGCGTTAAAAATGTAATTTCCAAAATTCGCATCACAGCCAGTGAACTGACGAATCTACTCGCGTCTATACAACAATCAGACACCTATGCACCTTCAATCTGCCAAACGTTCGTGAAAAAGGACTAACTCGTGACCAAATCGATCTCTGCCTAAACGCCTCATTGTTATCCGTTTGCGAATAGCGAGGAAGGCAGGAGAAAAGCGCGTTTGAGCTGGAAGAATAGCAGTATTTTGGATCGGAACCCGTTTACCATCGAAAACACGGATCCCGTGAATGACGTCGCCGATGAATGGATCGATTTGTCGCCAAGTTAGAGCGACCTCCTGGACGTACGCGCTTCTATACCTGTTCGTGCTGGCCCTCTGTACGGGACAGCAAGGGTGTGGTGCGTTTATAATGGGGGTACCAACTCGTTGTCACGGGCTCCGCCTACGCCATTGAGCCCGACGAGGCTCGTGAATGGGGCTGAATGGACCGGATGTGGCTGCTGCATTCAGCAGCTCTTAAGTGAGCAGCCAGAAACACGACACTTCGCTGGTATCGCCTGATCTCCCTTGATCGGCCTTCCCTTGGCTCCTTTATCTTACTTAACGTGGATCTTATTATGGGAGAAGGTTAAACGTTTTCGTGCCAGCCTCTTTTTTCCCCTTTCACTAGGCTAGGTCGTGGATGGATAGAGGCTCGCGGGATAGCACATCGGGATGGACCATCCCGATGTGCCGTTGACCAGACAGTTTCTATACTGCGTTGCAGGAAAGAAGTCATCTGAGAAACTTGTAGGACCGAATCCCCACCAGCCCAATCATGTTAACATCATGGCAGAAGTAGAGTAAAACGCTCCCCTTATTGGTAGAACTGATCCCTTCCTATCAGCCCCGTCATAGAACACCATGTGACGAAGAAAGCGAACAAATCAACGAGGCAAAGTGAGACAGATGCAAAAAATAGATGCAAGAGCGTAGACTCGTCCCAAAGCGTAGTAGTGCTTCCAATTCATTGTAAGTTAACTCTGAGATAACGTTTCTTACGCGAATATCTTACGCCCACGTTAACGTATCACGTTGCCGAACTTGGAGATAGTAGTTTTGGGAGTGTCGTAGAAGAGTGGGTATTACTAACAAGAGTACAGGCGGTGCAAGTGGAATACCCCTCTTGCCTCGCAACCGAACGAGATGACTTCTTTCGTGCAACGCATAGTAGGTCTGCGTTTCCTTGGCAGACGAGATTTCGATACATGTGTCGATTTTTCGGTTCTTTCGAGTCAGGTTAGGGGTTCTATTCGGCGAGGTTGCTCGAGAGCCTTGGTGGACGGTTAGGGTGATTTTGTCAGGGTCTTCCGAGGGATGGATATTTAACCCTTGACACTGGACGATTTTTTGGCTAGAGAAGAGTAGAAATTCAGAGATTCTCTGCTAAAAAACTGACGATACTTTCTTGAGCAGTAAATAAATAATTGTATAATAATAGAATTGTAGAATTATTTGATCTCGATACCTCGCACACTGTTACGTTACATTAAATTTGACGTATTAATTAACACATTGAGCGCCGCCCTTATTCGTTTGTTTCCGAACAATGAGTAGCTAAAGAAAATATTTCAAACTTATATATTTTATATATATTATAATTAATATATCAAATTCGAAAATTACCTAACGATGTGTGGAATGTGGAAGAAAAATAATTCTACGTCTTAATTTGCACATGATTTCTCATTTACCATTTTAAAAATATCGTCGACTCTATGACTCTATGACAGTTTCCTAATTACTATTTTTCTGTAACGAAATAGTCGTCGAGTGCAAAGGGTTAAACCTAAAATTCCAAACTCTGCTGTTCTTTTCTTTTTCCAGTCCAACAGGATGAATAAGCATTTTTCTGTTGAGATTGTTTAGAAAGTGACTATTTTCAGTTGTTATCATTTAACTATATTACTGACTATGTGATTATTATAATTATTGCTAGTACTTGAAAACTTAGAGCTAATGAAACTAGAGAGGTCCAGGTTAGGTTAAAGGGTCTTATCTATTATTCATCAGAATTTCTTGTGTTGTTGGGGTCAATGAGGAAATAGTTTTGTTCAGCTTTCTTTTATTTAACGATATCGTTAATTAAATTGATAATTAATAATAACGACGAATTTTTATTCGATAAAATGAGAGAAAATTTTTCTACTATACAAGGAAATTTAATTTGCAAAGAAGCGAACTCTATCGATTCGACTAGAAACGAGGAATCAACCTGTTGCTCTCGCCAACAGAATTTCGTCAGACGATGTTTTTGTGATTAAAATTTATCCGTGTTTCCCGAGATTTTAAATTGTCTGCGCACAGAAGGAGGAGACTCGAGGCAAGGGTAAGCGTGTTTTCGCATAAAATATGGATGAAAACATACGCATGATATGAAATACGATGCGCGCGTACTAACTACTGCAACAAGCGGGTTGCAATGACAGGGGTGCACCCTTGCACGATACTGGAGACCCTTTTCTCCCACGATGAAGGGAAAGTTGAATCGCAAACACGTATACTTCTCACATTAAGAAAGAGTTTCGCTGAAACTTCAGTGAATAACTTTCCACGAAGCTTTTAGTGGCTAGAATTTTGCCAGTATTATTTGAAACGAAGAAAAATGTCACCAGCCCTCATCTTCTACATAAAAACATTTTTATTAAGTGCTTTGACAGTCTTATTCAAAAATTTTTTACAGAGAAGGTACTAGGTAGCAATATACTTAAATGAATATAATTTATGGCCAAGCTATTCATTTCTCTCCCTCGCTCATGTATGGAATTATATATAATTTGATATATGGTTATATTGTAGCAATAGGAAAGTTAAAATTGCATAATTAATTGAAAAGTATCTGTACGATTTTACATCGTGGAAATAACTCTCCATTTTCCTTTGGAATAAAATAGAAATGTCAGAAACAATCTCCTAATTCTTGATAATATCTCCTGAACTAAGACTGATGTACATAACAAATGGTCTTTTAATAAATTCAATAAATGGTCAATCAGTTTATTAATAAGTTCACCACTAACTGTATCATAACCTCAAAAAAGATCACCTGCTTGGACCACAGTAGAAGATTAAGAATATATACTAATAATCCAAAAACATAGGCTTCAGTGCTACCTAACTAAAGTCACCTAAGTCTTAAAATGGATGAGAAACCAACGAATCGCCAGATGTGCCCTAAATCCTGTCAATAACTTCAAAAACAGCAAAGCAACTTCTATGGACTACAAAAGAAGAACGAAAAAATTACAAATAGGCAAAGAAAAATTAGATTTGAAATACTAATTGAAGTTATTTAAGCTTTGAAATCGACGAAGATTCAAATAATTGTTAAAATCCTATCAATAACCTCAAAATAGATCATCTTCGTAGACCACAAGAGAGGAATAAGGAGAAACATCGATAAACTAACCTAAAAAAGGGCAAGTTTTACAAAACAGCAAAGCAACTTCTATGAACTACAAAAAAGAACGAAAAAATTACAAATAGGCAAAGAAAAATTAGATTTGAGATACTAATTAAGTTATTTAAGCTTTAAAATCGACGAAGATTCAAATAATTGTTAAAATCCTATCAATAACCTCAAAATAGATCGTCTTCATAGTCCAGAAGAGAAGAATAAGGAAGAGCATCGATAAACTAACCTAAAAAAGGGCAGGTTTTACAAACTCTCTTATATTTTCTAAGCCTACTTTTTCATTCATGCTTATATGCACGTGTTTATCTCGGTAAGAAATTGAAACTAACTCGCAGTGCCAGCAGAGAGGCGTGCACGTAGGAACGCACATGCTCGCTCGCCGTGTAATCACACGATGCGCCCTCTACGAGCCGATATTCGAGCGCTGCATCAAATTTGCATTCGATCGACGTGGCTCGCGAGTCATTCGCGATTGAATTTTTCATCGTCGTGGAATCAAGGTCTATGTTTTACCGAGCGCTGGTCATCTTTCTTTCGTCGCTTTCCTTTCCGCTGCCTCGTCAATCATTTATGGAATTTTCACAGTGATCGAGCTCGACCCTAGGCTCCTCTAGGAAAGGAGGGGCGGCGCAGAACCGAATGCGCAGAAGCGCACCGCTCGCTCACGATTAACCACACGCAATTCGCGTGCCCGTCGAATGAAAAGGGGACTCCAACATTGACTGATTCTCCTTGCCTTTTCTCTCTCCCTTTCCGTTCTTAATTTACTTTAATT